CCTCCCAGGTTCAAGCGATTCTCCTGCCTCAGCCTCCCGAGTAGCTGGGACGACAGGTGTGTGCTACCACACCTGGTTAATTTTTTGGATTTTTAGTAGAGATGGGGTTTCACTGTGTTAGCCAGGCTGCTCTTGAACTCTTGACCCCATGGTCTGCCCGTCTTGGCCTCCCAAAGTGCTGGGATTACAGGTGTCAGCCACCACGGCCACTTTTCTCCTTCTTGAAAGTGGGATTTTCTCTTTATCACTGTTTGATTATTGTGTAAGTATTATGATTGGCATTTTGCAATTTGGGCAGAGCTGATTTTATATATATTTCTAAGTCCTTTTTTTTTTTGGACTCTGCCAAACTCTTAAGTCACTATCCATCCATCCTCTTCTCATTTTGACTTCTATTAGTTATTTCCTGAAGCCCATATCACTGAGAAAAAGTTAATCTTAAGTAAGTGAATAACTTAGGTCTAAATGAGAGGAGAATGAAGAATTAAGTGAATGTAGGCAGAGTCAGAAAAAAATAGTGTCTCTCTTTAAAGCATTACTTTTTGGTGACACCTTCGAAGGTAGTGAAATTGCTGTATGATCTAATGCTACAAAACCACATCTTGCTCTCATAGATTTTAAGATTTCTCTTTTGAATGATCCATTGCTGTCCTTTGTTTACACGTATCTTTTCTCGCTATCTTCCTTGTTAAATACATTTTTTGTTATATACTTTTGAAGCAAGTCTTGATTTTTCTGTATTTTCCCCATTTTTCTTCAAATGTTCCACAGTTCCCTAAAATAACATAGCATTCTTTGTCTTTTCCTACAGTCTATTCTTTGCTGTTTACATCATCCCTATCCCCCACCACCGAAAATGCCTTCAGAAAGTCCCTACCTTTTCTTGTACGTTGTCCTTCTGTTCAGATTCTTGCATTGCTGATATTCTCCCCTGCTACCCATTCTCCTCCCAGCAGTTTTCTTTGATAGTGATATCTGCCTTAGAATTTCCACTGTGCCTGTTAAACTCTTTGAGAAGGGTAATTCTGTCAATGATTACAACGTTTACTTCTCTTCCCCTTCTAGCCCCAAAGACCCAGGACAGAGTGTCCTTCCTCCTCATGCATTCCTGTGACAAGGAATCTGCGCTGAGGTTTCTGCTGTTTCTCTTACCAGGATTCTGAATTGTCTGTGACTGTCTGATATGATTGCTGATCTCTTTCCCGTTCTCAGATAGGACACAAGGATTCCATTTGGAGTGGGCTCAGGACATTCGGATGCCATTATTTTAGTAATGATTACATGATGTTTTGAGGGCAACCTGAAAGAACAGTCTCTAAGAGAAGAGCTGGGTAAAATCAGAGTAGGACGATCTCTAATGCCTTTTCTAGCTCTCTTACTCTGATTTTGTGAATTTATCCTCAGGGATAGTTTTTCACCAGCAGGATGAGACCCTGCTGTGGTCTGAATGTGTCTCTCTCCCCTCACCAAATTTTATTTATGTGTTGAAATCCTAACCCCCAAGGTGATGGTGTTAAGAGGTGGGGTCTTTGGGAGGCAGTTACATCTTGAGTGGATCCCTCATTAATGGGATTCATGCCCGTATAAAATAAGCTTAATGGCCAGGTGTGGTGGTGCAAACCTATAGTTCCAGCTATATGGAAGGCTGCAGCAGTGAGAAGATTGCTTGAGGCCAGGAGTTTGAGACTGCAGTGAGTGAATAACCCCTGCACTCCAGCCTGGACAACATAGAAGACTCTTTCTCTTAAAATAGGTGGCTAGATTAGATAGATAGCCTAAGGGAGCCTGATTGCCCCCTCCACCATGTGAGGACACAGCAAGAAGGCGCCATCTGTGAACCAGGAAAGGAGCCCTCACCAGACATCTGATTTGTTGATGCCTTGATTTTGGACTTACCAACCCTGAGAACTATAAGAAATGAATTTCTGTTGTTTGTAAATTACCCAGGCTAAGATATTTTGTTAAAGCAGACCAGATGGACTAAGTCAGCCCCCTAATGACCTGTTTTATATTTTTATTTATAATCTATCTGCTGCTTAATTTTGTGATTAGTGGCCAGCTACTATTTACTCATCTTTTATTCATCTGTAAAACTCCTGTCATCTTTTATTCATCTGTAAAACTCCTGTTAACTTGTCTTTGTGAGAAACAGTTTGCTAACAGATGAGTTTTCAGGTTGTTCAGTTTTAAAATGTTTTACTTAAAAGGATAAGACAGCTCCCCAATGCAAAGAGTGACTTCAGAGATAACTTTCATTTCTTTGAAATGTAGGAAGTCCATAGCCATTGCTGGCTGCTATCTTTCTACTCAATATGCTCCAGGGGAAGATTATCAAATTTTAGCCTCTGAGCTTTCAAGTGGCGCTTATTATCAATGGTGTATTACATGAAACTGGTTTTTGGGCTCTTCAAATTTATATTTTTGGCAAAGGTGTTGGGAGATTTGATTTCATTCATCATCACTGTAGTACCTGGCACATAGTAGGCTCTCCATTTGGTGTATTGGATGAAAGAAGAAAGTGATTCTGCTAGTCAGTGGGATTTAAAAAGAAGTGTCCACCAACTTTATGGGTCACCATTGATCTTGAGTTCAACTCTGTTGCCCTGTATATATGTGACCCCATGTTTATTGCAACCTTATAGGCATCTCAGGCACTGCTGGGAACAGACTCTTAAATTTCTGGTAGGGGCCACATGCGGTGGCTCACGCCTGTAATCTCAGCACTTTGGGAGGCCGAGGTGGACGGATCATGAGGTCAGGAGTTCGAGACCAGCCTGACCAACATGGTGAAACCCCGTCTCTACTAAAAATACAAAAAATTAGCCGGGCGTGGTGGCACATGCTTGTAGTCCCAGCTACTCAGGAGGCTGAGGCAGGAGAATTGCTTGAACCCGGGAGGCGGAGGTTGCAGTGAGCCAGGATCACGCCACTGCACTCCAGCCTGGGCGACAGAGCTAGACTCTGTCTCAAAAGAAAAAAAAAGTTTTGGTAGACTCCTATGTGCCATTTCTGGAGAACTGAAACAGTAGTGGACATCCTTAGGATTCATTTTAGTGTGGATATGGCTGTTTCTAGTGAAACTTGAAGTCCTGCTTCCTGTGTGTGAAACAGGGTAAAAGGATCACACTCGAAAAAATGCCGCCTTGTGCAAAAGTGACAGGATCGCTGTTCAGTTTGGAATATTGGAAAGTGGGCAGATTTATTTGGAAGCACTTTGTTTTTACTACATGTGTAAAACTCCAGGGAGCATTGAATAGGATATGAGGTGCTCCCTTTGGCTGTGCATTAGCAACGTGGCAGTTACTGATCTGTCATTTACTTTGAAAAGGAATTACAAAGTTTTGGCCTCATGCCTGGAGTAGCTCCAGATGGTCAGAAAAGATTTTTGTACTGAAGTCAGAAAGTATATTGCAGTGATAGAATTGGGCTTGTCATGTTTATATTAGAACACTGGCTTCCCACTTTATTTCTCTGCAAAATTTTTCTTTCTTTCTTTTTTCCCAGAGAGTGAGGGGAGGAAATTGTTTCTTTAGAGTTATGAGTCTAATATTTGGAATACTGTTGTTCTTGGTGATAGTGATGTAGAGGTATGATATGTGGTTAATGTAGTTACTTTGTCAACCTAAGTACCCCGATACTTAGTATTTACAAAGGATGCCTGAAGACTTGGAATGTAGAGATACACCAAGACCATTGTAGCTGATGTAGAAATGCAGGTAAGAAGCTTGATTTGGGTAGCATTTGCTTGTCTGATAACCTGGCTGTTAGCCCACAACTGTTATTTAGTAGCTTTCCAAACTTCATCTGTTCTGCCTTCCCATGATTCTGTAGTTGCTAGGGGTAACAGTGACGTTTGGGTGTTTAGTATGGGTGGGAGATATTGCCTGGGGAGATGAGCAGTGAGGCGGTAATGATACTGACACCAAGTTTTGCCATTCTGGGCATTAGTGCATCTTTTAAATTCCACTATGACCATGTGTACCTTCGTATCAACCCTGGAAGGGGAATGATGTGATTCCTATTTTCCTGATGAGAAAACTGAGACTTAGGGAGGTAATATCTGACCAAGGCAATATCTAGGTAACTCCCTTCTGCAGCCTGTTTACATATACTTTTGGGGAAAATTATTACAGTTTCCTGTCCTTTCAGGACAGAGGTGGCTACAGGCTTCAGGAAATAAAGCTCATTTTCCTCTGGGAAACTCAGGACTTGTCTGAGTTGAGCCATTTAGTAAAGCTTGGTCACAAGGCTCAGATTAAGACCTGGATCTACGTGCTACTGTTCCCAGACTGTTTTTCAGTTACTCTTGTGGTTACTGAGTAACTTGGGAGTTAGAAGAACATTAACAAAGTTTTGTGTTTTTGAAGAAAATGCTACACATGGAGAAGTGACATTAAGTTGCATACTTCAGAAAGGAATTTTTATCTGTTTTGAGATTCTGGTATATAAATTGAAAATAATTTAAAGAAACTAATTTTGATTATTATACTTTTAATTGGTGGCACGAGTATGTGAACATAGGTAACTCTTTTGAAGCACTTTTATTGAAAGGTATAAAAATTTTTGTTGCTGTTGTTCAGTAGCTGACACGCAGTATTCTCTTGTTGTGGATTTAGGGGTCTTGCACCAGCTCACCCTTTTCTCAGATTGCAGCTCTTCCTTCTTGCTTGACGTAGAGTGGTTTCTAACTTGGTTCTTTTTCCTCTACAGATCTAAGTCCTGGTCCACAGTCTCCTACTGTCACCCAGTCTTCTATGAGCTGTCAGAATCCTCCTCTAGGCTTTTATTATTCTGCTTCCTAATTTTGTCCTTTTAAATTTCCACTGTTTAGATATTATTCAAGCAGCAGTGGTATTTTTCTATATATAATGTGGTGCTATAGTTTATAAGTTGTTTTGGGGTTGTGTCTTAAACAGCAAGAGTGGCCTGATTGATGTGCTTTTTGAAGTCTTACTACCTTTTTGATGGGTAGGATGAAAGTGGTGTGAAGATGAGTTTGTCTGGCTTGCTGTAAATCTGATCTGTAAGGCTTTTCCGTGTTCACTAAGGCACCAGAGTCGGACTCTCCTTTTTTTCTTGTTTGATGTTACTTTATTACACTTATGAATGAAATACTAATGCTATTATTTTATAAAAGATCATAAAATAAAAGTACACGTTCTTCGTGTTTTATATGTTTCTTTAAAAAGATAATTACCATGAGTCATAGAGCTACAATTACATCAAGAGTTTCCTATATGAAACGAAGTCTTTGGTGGGTTTTTGGTACAGTCTTTGCACCTGGATCAGTGGAATGAAATGTCATCACACTTGAAAAAAAAAATTACTTAACAGACCTATTAAGAATCTTTAGAAGTTTGCATTTTGTTAGGGATTTGTGGTCCAAGAGTTAGTACTACAGAACAGGCTCTTTTCTAGACCTAGGGAAACCAGTTTGTTTCTCTGCTACTGACCTGCAAGACTTATTATAAGTGTTTCCTTCTCCTGTCTGTTTTGAAGAGACTTCCTCTGGGAATTAATGGTAGAATACTTGTGACTTCTGAGAGCAGAGAATGTTCCAGGGCATCATCATCTTCTCCCTCTGTGCTGTACATGGCCTCCCTGTGTCTCTCCTGCCTGGCATACCTCCCCACTCCTCCTCCACCTCAGTCACAGGGTGACTGCCTTGCTTTCTGTCTACCTTTCCCAACTCTTCAGGCCCTCATCCTGGTGGATCCCATTCTGTAGCCCCTTCTGCTCTTTTCAGGGGCTTCTATTTGGTGTTATACACTTGTGTCATTTAGTTACCCACCTATTCCCTCATTGGACATCCATTCTGGGCTTCCTGCAGAGGGCTTGTAAGTTCACCTTTATATCCCCAGGGTCAGAGCTGATGTTCTGCCGAGTGAATGGGGAAGCACCAGAAAGAACAGAAGCTAATGATGGACTGGCTTGACCATGGCTCCCACACTTTCAATACTCATTCCTCTGTTTCCTCAGAAATTTTGCTTGAATTAGTCTTGTAGCTCTCCTTCTGAACTGCTGAGCAAATATTTGGACACTTTTTGAGGAGCCCTCTTTTTTTTTTTTTGAGATGGAGTCTCATTCTGTCTCCCAGGCTGGATTGCAGTGGCACAATCTCGTCTCACTGCAGCCTCCGCCTCCTGGGTTCAAGCGATTCTCCTGCCTCAGCCTCCTGAGTAGCTGGGATTACAGGCTTATGCCACCACGTCCGGCTAATTTTTTGTATTTTTGGAAGAGATGGGGTTTCGCCATGTTGGCTAGGCTGGTCTCGAACTCCTGACCTCAGATGATCCACCTGCTTCAGCCTCCCAAAGTGCTGTAATTACAGGCATGAGCCACCGTACCTGGCCAGAGGAGCCCTCATTGATAGCAAGAATAAAAACATTTTGTCAGGAAATTTAATAATAATCATAAGCCCAGATTGAGCGCTTGCTATGTACCAAACACTGTTCTAGGTGCTTTACGTGCATTTCTTCATTTAATCTTCACAGTGTCCTGAATTAGGTGCTTTATTTAATTATTTCCACTTGCTAGTGAAGAAGCAGAAGTAGTAAGAGGGTAAGCAACTTGCCTGAAGTTAAAAGCTAGTCAGCCGGGGACTTAGGGTTTGTAGCCAGGCAGTTGTGGTCTTCGGGGAGGGGACATAACATTTTTCCCCTCCTGAAACTCCATATTCCTTTGTAAATCTTTTCTGTGTTACATATTTTCTTGTCCCTAGTTTAGTTATTTAGGTCAGCTTCTTGTGCTTCTACTGCAAAATGTTGCTGTCAATTTCCTTGACCTGGTAACTGCCTGGTGAGGTTCGCCACGGCTGCCAGTCAATTTAGCAGGTCACCCGAGTACCTGTGGGAGGGTGAGGACGTGGAATCCTCAGGAGAGGGCTCTGCTGTTGGCTGCTGTCTCCACTGAAAGTGGACAGTTTTGAATGTCTTAATAAAATCAAATCAGATGTTCTTGAGTATTCATTCATTTTATTTTCCTAAGCAAAATGTTTTGTAAAATGCTGCTTTTATGTGGCTAGAGCAAATAAATATCTCTATTAACACTTTTAGGCAAAGGTTGAGATCTTTGAGTGGGTTTTAAAAATTTATTTTTATTTTTTATTTATTTTAAGTTCTGGGATACATGCACAGAACGTGCGGGTTTGTTACATAGGTGGAATGAGTGGGTTTTTAAAGTCGTCATTGCGTGCCTTTAGTCTTACTGGTTTGCCTTAGTTTCTTTACTCTCTAGACTGCTGTGCTGACTTTTCATAGCTCTGACTTTTCAGTCCAGTGACTTTTTGATGCTCTGGCCAGGTGGCTCTTGTTTCAGCTTCACTGGGAGGGAGTTGTGGAATCTGGCTGACAATTCCATTTAGTCTTCTTGAATTTAATTGGCCTCTTCCCCTTTCCCATTCCAAGTAGGGGAATAGCCTGAAGCCATTTTCGAGGGGCTACTAAAGCAGTTTACAAGCTGATGCCTTATATTTAAATACCACAGTATTTACAAAACTGTTTCTATTATGTATATTGTCTATTGTAGCATTCTCACAGTGACCCTGTGGTGTGAACACAGTGACTGTTATCCCAGTTTACACATGAGAAAACCTAGTCTGAGAGTGTGTGCCTTTCCTTACTTAGGGCATTGTGGCAAATAAAGGGAGAAGTCAAGCTACTGCTTCCATTCCAGTCTCTGAATTCCACGTCCCCTGCCCTCTTTTCTTTCCAGGGCATGTATGATGTCTCAAGCTTGAGTAACCTCTAATTGAAAATCTGTAGGTACTTATCTTCTGCACTTTTGAAATGATATGAACGTGAAATATTTTCAACATGCTAACATTTTTCCAGGCCATTATTAGGGTATTAAATCATCCCGTTACCATAACTGCAATTTTAGATGTTCTGTTGCTAAACTGGGATCTGTCAATAGAATGCAATCTTTTGAAAGTCTTAAAAAATAGGGTACATCTTGGACTCAAGAATTGTGA